ATAATTAGATGTGTGATTTTGATGTTGTGATATAAGTTGGTGAGATTGAAGAAAATAAGCAAAAGTACCTCACGATGAAAATTTGAGAGAGCTCGGAGTCAATTGGATAAAGGAAGATATCAATGGAATCAAATTTAGTCAAAAGATGATCAAAAATCAATTTCCAACCGAAAAGTTATGCTCCGATGTTTTAGTCTCATATTGAGACCTATTTTTGGCATAGAAAGTGATCGAATTGGAGAATGATATCTGAATCAAAGTTGTACCCAAATGAGTTAGCTTTCCAGCGCATTTTGAATCACCTCAATCGGATATCGGAATACAAAGTTATGATAAAAACACTGAAGGAAGGTGCAGCTGCCTGTTTAAAATAAGAAATTCCGTTACATAATCCGTTAGAACAACAAATTCCGTTAGTTTTTCCATTAAAAATAAGAAATTCCGTTACATAGCCACTTTTAATATATAGAAGAAATTCTCCATCAATTTACTATTCCAAAATGCATTTACATAAAAAATAAAAATTAAAAAATGGGGCTCAAACTTGCCATTATATATTAAGGTCACAATACTACAATTAATGGTCATTGGTGCGTACTTATAGGTCACAATGTCACATATTATCAAATTAATTGTTCACAAATTATTTCATGATCACAATAAAAAAATTTGATAAATCACAATTTATTTCATCGATCACAGATCAAAAAATTTATAGGTCATAATATATTTGTCGATCATAGATTTTGAAATTAGTTGGTCACAAATTATTTTTCAATTACAAATTATTGTTTTTTAGGTCACAATTATATAGTTGGTCATAAATAACCAAATATTTTGTCATTTATTAACTAAATAGTTGGTCACATACGACCACTACCACCACAACCACTTGAGACCACCCCCACCCCGCCATCGTCGCCTCCACCACCAATAAAACAGCCATCGCCACTGCGAGATACATTTCCAACAAAAACCATCACACCACCAAAACATGAAAACCACCGTCGCTTCAATTTCGGCCACAACAAAAAAAAAGAAAACAAAGAGAGAGAAAACAAGAAAACCTAATTTTTGCAATGATCAGCCCATTGACGAGAGGATAACGAGCGGCAA